GTCTTATTGCCATGACGTCTCGTACAAAACAGCATCACCGGGAAGCGGGGACCGGGGACGGGTCGTCGCGACTACAGACGTTGTGGCCAAACGCTATCGGGTCCACAACAGGAGCAGGGCTTTGTTCCTACCCGGGTATTGCTGGGAGAGAAGACTTGGATTCTGTGCATGTTTTAGGAGCAGGGAACAGTTGTCTTAAAGACAGAACAGCATTTAGTCCCAGACACTCAGTCTGAGGGGAACTGATCCCGTTCTCCTGGCCACACATCAGGCCCAGGTCGGCTTCCAGATTGTCCTTGGCAGCGCTGGGTCCATCTGACCGGTGGCCTCCAGAGCTGCACCACCAGATTTATTGTCCGAGGTGAGGAAGTTTGGAGCAAGCAGCATCCTGGCAGACAGTGCAGGGCAACGCATGGTGATTGTGGGGCTCTCACGTCAACGCCTTTCCCCTAGGAATTACCAGTGTAGTTTATTTTAAAATCCAAGCGAGGCTACAGAGTCACAAGTCACAGTGGTGTTCCCAGCCAGGACTGGCTGTCACGTCACTCGTACGCACACAGGGGACGATCTAGGTAACTGTGCAAGGCTTTTCCTGCCAGGGTTCCCTCCACGATGCACAACAGAAAACCAGAGGGAGGGGAGGGGATTTCTTACTGGCCCCGCGAGGCAGCAGGATCCAGCTGGTTCAACTCAGACTGATCCAGCAGTTCAAAGTCATCCCCTTCCGCATCGGTGTCCAAGTCTGAGCTGGCCGTCCTCAGGTAAGTCTTTGCAGCTCTCTGGGGGTTGTCGCTGCGCGAGGGACCTGGCTGAGGGGCTCCCGACAGCGCCAGCTGGATCATCCCTCTGGTGACAAACCCGGCGAGGTTGTCGCCGAGGTTCTGCACGGATGGCAGCAGGCTGGGCTCCTCCTGGTCATCGGGGAGGTGCAGATCGTCCGTCACCTGCGAGCGGTACGCCAGGCTCGGGATCCCAATGCTGGTGTCATCTTCGTCATCTATGCCAGTCACTTCCGGGTTTATGGAAGGGAAGTCGGGGAGGTCCCTGGCAAAAGACTCTTCTGGGTCACTGTGACCATCCAGGTCTAGAGGAGGAGAAAGCACCTTAAATATGGGGTGCAGCCCACAGCAAGGGCAGCGCTGCCCACGGAGTGGCCAGCCACTGGCACCACTCACAGACCAAACACCCCTCTGCCCTGCTCAGAGCTGCCCGGGGCTGGCTGAGCCCCGCTCGCCCCGGGGGCGGATGCCGAAGCAGACACCCCACCCCAGGCCCCACGGCCCAGCCCGCCGAGCAGGAGCCGCCCCCACACTGCCACTGCTCCATAAAGCACCCCAGGAACGGCGAAAGAAGCTCAGTCCTGGAAGAACAGGCAGCTGCATTCTATCTTAGCCAGCGAGGGAGACATCAAGCAGCTAGACCTCACCCTCCTCCAGCCCATCACTCCACACCTCCCAGAAGCTGCTCATCCCCTCTCACCTTCGGATCCCTCCGTCAGGGGAGTCTGGCCCCGTGACAGGTTAAATAGCCCATTTTCAGTGTAGGAGACCTCGGCATCCGAATGCTCCGAGTCAGAGATGGTTAGTTCCTTGGCAACCACAGAGTCATCCAGCTTTGGAGTAAGACAAAAAATTGAAAACATCAATTACTGGAAAGCTTATTCCTGTGCCTCAAGACAAAACTGGTGATCCAGAAGCCACCAGTTATACCTAGTCCTCATGGGAGGCTCGTACCCAAGGCTTATTTTGCACTTCACTAAACTGCAGTTGATAGAAGCAGCTCTGGACAAACCTGACTGAGACAGAATAGGGCAGACCCCTCCAAAAGGCCAATGTCCCCATCTGAACTTCCATCACAACTCAGCTACAACATGCTGGGTACGGGACCATGCACGGCACATCCATGCAATGCAGTGAGTTTGCTCTGCTCAGCTGAGCTCTTCTGTCTCTGAGGCATTTTGTTACCTTGGGACAGAACGCGGCGAGCTCCTCTTCGCTGTCACTCCCGTCGCCCGCAGCCTCCTGATTCAGGGACCGGCGACACACTGCCAGAAACCAGAGTCAGAGCTCATTGCTGCTGCCAGGACAGGGCTGTGCACAGCACCAGTCTCACGCCGAGCAGAAAACCCTCAAGCTGGCACGCCTGACCATAACCCAGCAGGCTTTGTTCCACAGCAGAGCAACGTGACCACTGACGCAGAGCACGTTCAGCAGCCCCCTCGCACCGAGTCCTGCCTCTTTTTCCAGCGCAGCTGCAACACGGCACATGCAGCTCTGGCAGCTGGGAAGGGGAGCAGCTCAGCACCACCAAGAGCTCACAGGAGCCGCTGGCTGGAGGTGCCTGCAGAGGCAGAGCTGCTCTGCCTCCTCCCCAAAGCTGCTGCCAGGCTTTGCCGGGGCGCTGGAGCAACGGCTGTGCCGGACACGCGGCCCCGTCCCGCACTCAGCCCGTCTCCAGGACCACGGGGCAGTGTCAGAAGGGTCAGGAACACCAACTTACGTTGCTTCTCCCGTTGCTTTGATACCATGTAGCCTCGAACGCTGAAATCCAGCCGCTTCAGAGCTGGCTCCAGCTTCACGTACATGCGCTGCCCCAGCCTGTGGTACACAGCGAGGGGCCACAGCAGCACAAGGAGCACTGAGATAAGTGGGAACGCCAATTAGAAGTTTGTTTGGGATGCTAATTGGCAAACATCTTGCTCGTTTTGTGACGCAGTGTGTGTATCACACAGAATAGGCACGATCTGAGCACTGGACACTGTTAGAATTGGTGCAACCGCCTCTGCCAATTTAACAAAATCGAGAGGCCAGCCTATCAGTGCTCAGATCTGTGCTTACTAAGCACTCAAAACATGTTCTCTCTGGACCAGAGACCTTAGTCTCCTGGTCAAGAACCACCGCATTCCAGGCAGAATGTATTATTTTACATTGTAAAGCCATTCACACAAGCTTTCTTTCTGAGCAGAAGAGCCCCATCCTTGGGACATTCCAATCCCACTCATCTCTACCCCTTTTCACTTGCAAGCCCGCACTGGCAGAGATCTACTTACATAGCAAATAGGAGAGCAGGAGTCCAGGGACGTACTGGCCCAGGACAGCCAGGAAAGTAAAGACTCCACAGGCTAGAAGGCAAAACTGAAGACATGGGAGACAGTGAGTTTCCAAGGTTAGGCAGTGGATTTACTCAGTTCTTGATCGTCCTGTTCCCTGCAGGTTCCAGGTCAACCATAATTCCATGACAGCAAAGCCTCCCTAGTGCTCAGCTGCCCTGCTCCGGGAGCAGCACAGGCACGGGAGGTCGGGCTCAGAGCCACAGGCAGCAGGCTTGGGCCTCTGCCACCCAGCACCAGGAGCCCAGTGTGGCTACGCTAAAGGAAAGGAAGAGGCTAAAGACAAGACTCTTCAAGGTGAAAAGGACAAGGGCAATAGCACCATGTTACAGGTTCTTCTTTGCATAAGCCCCAAAAAAAGAAGAAAATAAAAGGCTTGACTCACTTTCTGAAACTGTTAAAAATCCATTGAGAGAACCGAGTTTGACAGTCACTTAAAAACCCAGAAATCTGCAAGAGGAGCAGCTGCCTGTTTGCTTAACCAACATGCCAACACTTGCTTGCTCCTCCCCCCTCCACAGCCCAACTCCTCTGCCTGCACCTTCTACTCCTCCCCACCACTCCACAGCCGTGCTGCTGCAGGAGACCACACGTTCAGCCCACGCCAGACGCCACCACCACGGGAGGACACTGGTGACCAGCAGAGGCTCCACGCCAGACCTTTTGTTGGCTGAGGTCTGTATGTTCTTACCTTGCCAGGGTTTTGCCTCTTGAAAATGAAGAGATTACTGAAGAAGTTGGTCCCAGCCACCCATCCTTCAGCCAAATGGTGACAGAGTTCCGGCACCCCAAGCAGCCGAGGGTGAACGTATCCCCAGCTGCAGCAAAGGGAGGAATTTGGGAATGGGTATTACCACATCGGCCTCAGTGCAGCAGTCACTTTTTACAAACACTTGTCTCACTGCTTCCTTCTCTGCTCACCCAGCACGGAGCTCTAGGGACAAGGGTCACCCTGCCTTCCACAACACCACCCTGCCAGAAGCAGTGCTGCCACCTGCCATCCACGCGTGTCCCAGGTCTGCCACAGCAGCTAAGGAGCAGTAACTTCATCACTCAGTCTTTTAGCTTAGACTGGTTTCCACGCTGCTGGAGGCAAAGGGCAGTGCAGAAGCAAATCCAGCGAATTAATTTGCTTTTTCTGCATTTATTTGGTCAACTGCAACACCCAAGAATTCAGCATGAGGTCTACAAGCAGCCTTGCACCTTACTTAACGTGTTTGGTCACTTTGGAGGCATCGTCTTTGGCGAGTTCTATTAGTGCTTCTTAACTGCTAGTCCCAAGTACCTGCAGGTTAGGAAGAGCAGTTCCTTTTGTACTTGGGCCTCTCTCTTTCTCAAAAAATAAAATAATTGTCATTTGGCAACAGCTCAAGTGATTTAATGGGGAGCCAAGGATCCTGCGTGGCAGGAAGGTGTGCCCAGGGAGAGGAGGGTGTTCTTAGCCAGACAACACCCCGGCGTTTCCCAACCCATTATTAATGCTGCAGTCAGATCCTAACTATGCAGAAACGACTTCTGGGACAAGCTTGTTAAACATTCCCTGTCAAGTTTCAGAAGACTTCATCATTTCCAGAAAAAAATAAATTGTTTTCCTGCTACTGGAGGCCCATACAAAAGGAATCACTTTTAAGGCAGCAGCTCTAATTTAAGGGTGCTGGGGGAAGTGGCAGGGGCAGTTTTACAACACAAGCGTTACTGGAGGCCAGGATGGAGGCAAAGATTAAGTACAACATAATGGCCTGGGCCAGTCAAAAACCTATCACAACAGCTTGATGGAGTCCAGGGCTCCATCCTCCCCCTGCTAAGCAGCTCCCTTCTCCCCCCCGCCCCTCGCCTGAAGGAGCCAAGGTCACAAGCACATGCAGGTAATAATTACACAGTGTCACAGCAAAGTACCAAACAGCAGAGGAGTCAATGAGCTTCCTACCTCTCATTGTCTAATTCGTCAGGTCTTGCCACTAAAATATTAAGAACAGACACTACATTAGTTGCAAGGAATTTGCCATGAGAATGCTTAGTTTTTGGGATTTAAGTAAAGCTTTAATGAGCTGAGGAATACCTGGAAAAGACATTAACTGTAATTAAGAACTGGGGCCTGTGTCGCTCCATAACGCATTCTGAACGTGTACGTGTGACAATGCAAGACTGCAACAGCATCTCCTCCCTGCTCTGCTCCTCAGGATTTGTGGGAGGTTGTCTGGAAGGCTGCTCTGGTTACAACGACAGGCAACAGCAAAAAATACCCCGTTCCTCACCCTCCTCTGCACACGCCAGATGGTGGAGGGAGAACAGCTCGTTACTGAGAGCACCAGAAATTTAAGTCTTTCGGTACTTTCTCACCTAGGCTGCGATTCGAAAAGCGGCCCAGGGGCGTACCCTGACAAATCAAACTGGGGGTCACGAGGCAGCTAGACAGACACCTCGTACATGGGAACGTTCAGCTACAGAGCCTGGGCCGAGCCGCTGCTAGGGACCAAGGAAAGCTTTAACGTCTTCCCAGGAACCACGGAGAACACACACAAGCTGAAGCAGCAACCTGGGAGCTTCCAAAGAAATCTCTACTCGACAGCAAGGCTGGGACTCAGCTTTGTCCCAGAACATGAAGCTGGTTCATTACAGACTCTGAGGGGAAACCCAGGCGTAGCCCACAGGCGCTCCAGCTTCTTGTGCCCAACGCTCGGCAGCTGGATCACTGCTCCCAGACCTGCACCAGCTGGGTCAGGATTATGAGATAAACTCCAGCGTCAAACCCACAAAAAGCTCTGTTTGACATTTATACAGGTTACAATTTTCCAGCCCCAGGAAGAACATGCCTGCAGTGTTTCTGCCTGCTCTAGACTCACAAAGCAAAGGACACAGGATTTTAACTATTTAACTTCAGGTAGTGTGGAGCCTCTGTCTCTGGGGCTAAAAATAACACTTGATTTTCTGGTATCAACACAACTGTTGCAGCTTACCTCCAATTTCAGGCCAGATTTTGTTCTTCCACTGATCTAGACAAACTACTATAATCAGACCAAATGCAACCAGGAACAGCAAGCGAAGAGAAGTCAGAGCAAAAAACCTGTGGGGAAGAACCAAACCAATCAGTATCGCCCGCACGTGTGCGACACACACAAAGGGGTCACACAAAGGAACCCAAAATCGGCCACTGGTGACGGCTGTAGCCTGAGAAAAGGGCACAAGTGCCAACAGTCAGCGCCAGGCTGCTTTCGAGACCCACTTCTGCTCATGCCGTTCCCAGCACCGCAGCTCTGGCTCAGAGCAGAACCTGCTGCCCTTCCCTCGCTGTGCCCCGAGCGGTCTGGGGCTCGCCGACCAGTCCTGCGCTCTCCGGTAACAGTGACCCCAGACTGAGAGGTCTGAAGCAGACATCGGCGCTTCTCTGACGGAACGGGTCGGGGA